AGTACTGAGTACTGAGTAGTGCGTAGTGAGTAGTGAGTAGTGAGTAGTGATGAATAGAGAGTAGTGGGTGGTTGCAGTGGGTAGTGGGTAGTGAGTAGTGAGTAGGGAGTAGCGAGTAGTGAGTAGTGAGGAGCGAGTAGGGCGTAGTGAGTAGTGAGTAGTGAGTAGAAAGTAGTCAGTAGTGAGTAGTGAATAAGGAGTAGGGAGTGCTAGGCAGTGAGTAGTGAGAAGTGGGTAGAATATAGTTGGTAGTGAGTAGCGATGAGTGACTAGTGACCTGTGAATAGTGGCTCGAGACTATGTAGTGACTAGCGAGCAAGGAGTAGTGAGTAGTGAGTGGTGGGGAGTGAGTATTGAGCATTGAGTAGCGAGTATGGGAGTAGCGAGTAGTGAGTACTGAGCACTGTGTAGTCAGTAGTGTCTAGGCAGTAGCGAGTAGCGAGTAGTGGGTAGTGAGTAGTGATTTGTGGGCAACGAGGAGTGAGTAGTGTGTAGTGGATAGTGGGTAGTGGGTAATGAGTAGTGTTTAGTGAGTAGTGAGCAGGGAGTAGTGCGTAGTGCTTAGTGAGTAGTGAGTAGTGAGTAGTGGGTAGTGAGGAGTGAGTAGTGAGTAATGAGTAGGGAGGAGGGAGTGGTGAGTAGGGAGTAGTGAGTAGCGAGTAGTGGGTGGTGGTTAGTGAGTAGTGGATCGTGAGTAGTGAGTCGTGAGTAGTGAGTAGGGGGTAGTCAGAAGTGGTTAGCGAATGGCGAGTAGTGAGAAGTGGGTAGTGAGTAATGAGTAGTGAGTGCTCTTTGGGGCTGGGGTTAGTGGTTGGGGTCAGGGTTAGGGGTTTGGGTTAGGGTGAGGACTAGGGGTAGGGGTGGGGGGGGGGTCGGGTTCCGGAGTCAGAGGGGCGGCGTGGCGAAAAGGGGGGAGGGGGGGGGGCGGCCAAAGGGGGGGGGGGGGGCAGGTCGGACCCCCCCCTTTTTGAAAGGTTTGAAAGGGGGGGGAGGGGGGGGTCCCGACGACGGACCAGGAAAGGGGGGGGGGTCCCCGACGACGGATCGGGGAAGAGGGGGAGGGGGGGGTCCCCGACGACGGATCGAGGAAAGGGGGGAGGGGGGGGGTCCCCCCCCCCCTTGGGGAGATCCAGCGGCGCATCCTCTTTATTAATGTATACACACATACCTATTTTCATACAGACTTGCATACATGCATACATACATGTATACATACGGGCCTTTTGCCGCCTCTGCCGCGTGCGCTCCAGCTGCGCTCCAGAATTGGGGAGGAGGAGGCAGGAGGAAAAGGAGGACGAGGAGGAGGGAGGACGGGGAGGACGAGGAGGAGGATGGGGAGGAGGAGGAGGAGGAGTCCAGAGGGAGGAGGATGAGGAGCAGGAGGGCTTTTCGCCGAACCAGTATAACATATGACGTCTTTGTGGGAGATTCGAAAAGGAAATCACCGGTGGGGTAAATCAATTAATTTTGTAGTCGATCCCCTATTCGAAGGCTCGCGACGTTGCTCACGACGCGAGAGTGGGGCCTCGCTCGCAGCTGCCACCCCGCCGTCACGCTGCAGTGGAAACCCGTGCCAAGAAACACCCCGCGGATTCACCGAGGAGCCCCTGAGAGCTCCCCCGCCCCCCCCCGCCCCCCGATCCCGCACGTTATCGCGAATCCTACCATGGAGGCCCATGCCAACACACACCCTGCTTGCCTCCAGGGCGCCCAGAAGAGGCACGGGAAGACGTGGGGAATCCCGGGACTCGTGTCTGTCTGTCCGTGTGTCCCGGGGCCCCTGTTTGCCCAGACGTGCGACGCCCTGTTTTTTTCAGGACGGCGGCCCTGGAAGTCCAGACCCTTTCCCCAGGGCCGGTTTGTCATACGATGAGTCGTTTTTCGACGCTCCCGGGAGCTGGCGAGGGCTCCCAGGGGCCGAAAATATAGAAAAATGTGGCGCCCTGATCTTTTTTTACGACGCGATCGTGAATGTCTGGGGAGGTTTTTAGAACACAACGCGAGCGACTAGTCAAGGCTGCATGATCGCGCCTAGTTATGATCACATGTCACGATCATGCGCAAGTTGCATGACCACATGTCACGACCGCGTGTATCTACGTCAGTTGCACGGCGCGATCAGGTCTGGACAGGCACCTCGGAGGGGCACCCGTTTTTTTTGTTTGCTGCCCGCGCGCCGAGCCCGGCCGGATGTCGGAGGCCCCTCCACGGGGCCCCGGCCGGGAGGGCGGCGCAGGGCTCTTCCGCGTGCTCTTTGGAGCCGCGCGTGTGCGCGCCCGTCGGGCGCTGTGGGAGTGTCTGCCGAGCAGTGAAAACGCGTCCCTGCTCGCCGATGGGCCCACCAAAGAAAGGGGGGCAGGGCTCATTTCGGCTCCTCCTCCTCCTCCTCCTCCCTCCTCCCTCCTCCTCCCTCCTCCCTCCTCCTCCTCCTCCTCCTCGATTCGATTCGATTCGATTCGGTTTCGAGATAGGCCCGTCCCTGCTCGCCGATAGGCCCACCAAACAAAGTTCTAAGAGCCTCCCCAGACATGATCGCGTCGTGAAAAAGTCAGGAGGGGGGAACAAAAAAGCACAGACACAATGAATCGTCCATCCCCAGGAAAAGATTGGAAAATATGGGAAGTGGGGGGGAAGACAGAAACCCAGAAAATATGGGAACAGATAGGGAATCCTGTTTTTTTTGTGTGTATTTATTTGTGTGTCCCAGGGCCCCTTCATGAAAACGCGTCCCTGCTCGCCGATAGGCCAACCAAATAAAGTTCTAAGAACAACCCCCGACATGGTCGCGTCGTAAGAAAGATCAGGGCGGCAAGTTGTTCTGCATTCTCGGCTCCTAGGGGCCCTCGCCGGTCCCCAGGAGCGTCAAAAAACGACTCAGGATGAAAAAACGGCCGGCCCTGGGGAGAGGGTCTAGACTTCCGGGGACGCCGTCCTGAAAACACCAGGACGTCGCACGTATGGGTCTGCACGAAATGTCTTTAGTACATTTCTGGCTGAGTCCGTTTGGTTTTAGCACATCGGGCTTGCGTTCTAAGAACACTGTTCATTGTTCTGGGAACGTTTCTGGGTTCGAAGAACATGTCGTGGTAGGCCTATAGGAATGCCACGACGGTCGGTCCCTGCTCAAGTCTGGGCCTCCTACAGTGGGGGCCCATGCCGAGAGACACCCTGCTTGCCTCCAGGGTACCATGGCTTTCGATGGTTCTGCCAGGGAGGGCGTGGCGTTCCCACACCAAGCATCCATGGACGTCCTGGGGTCTCGGGGTTGGGTTTCTTGTGGAAGGTTTCTCTTGTGGCCGAGCTCCTGCCGTATCCTTCCGACGCCAGCCGTAGTCTTGGCGGCGCTCGGAAAGGGGCGTGCGGGGCGAGCGGGTGCCGGCCTTCTCGGGTGAGGCGGTCAGGATCCTCGGAGGCCCCCCGGGCCTTCCAGGAGGCTCTCTCGGGAGCCCCCCGCCCTCACTCGAGGTCCGCATTGCGTCTGATGATCGTTTTCTCAGTCATTGTTTTGCCGGTCGTCGCGGGCCCACGCTCCCCCTCCCCCCCTCAATGCAGTAGATCTTGGCTGTTTTTTGGCGCCTGTCTCGGGCAGGTGGAGTCCACTAGAACGCACTGCTGCAAGCAGTCGCATCAAGCAGAGGTCTGGAGCCAGACCTCCCCCCATCCCCCCCTTCCGCCCAATGTCGACACGCCGAATAAGAAAACGTTTACCAGATGGGATCGGAGTATGGGTCGGAGTCCGGGAGGTCAACCAAAATTGGCCCAGGGACCCTCTCCAGAGGCACCCTCGAGGGGGTTTGGGGAGGAGTGAGTCTAGGCCTCCCAGATAAAGTCGGAGTAGCTTCGGAGGATCGCGCCGCCTCGCCGATGAATCGGCGATGCGGCACGATGCGGAGCTCAATGTCTCCATGCCGATGCATCGCTGATGCGGAGGGCGCCGATGCATCGCCGACGTCGCCGATGCATCGCCGATTCATCACTGATGCCTCGCCGATGCGTCGGTGATGCGGCGAGATCCTCCGACCCCATCTATTCGGAACCCATCTAGCAGGCCTCTGCAGATATCACCCGAGATGATTTCCTCAATCCGCGGCGCAAGAGGACCCTGAGCCCTTCCCTCGAGGCAGTCTCTCGCCCCGGACCCGTTCTTGGTGGCAGGGCCCGACCGAGACCCCCAGAGGCCGAGATTTCAAGGAAAGACGCCCGAGCTGAGATGATCACATCGGACATCTGAG